CTTAAATTATGCTAACTGAGCCCAAAAATGTGAAATTATGCGATTCTGTTAATTTTAACAAAGAATGATAAAGGAAAATAATCATTAATTTTGCACCCAAAAAAAGATCAAATTTTGTTAAATATCAATGCAGGGTGCATTAAACCCCGGGGCAGCAAAGAAGACCAGCTTTCTTTTTCAGGATAGCTACAATCACACTCTGTGCCCATGTATCTCATTTTTAAAATGTAAGGCAGCGTGGTGGAATCAGGCTCCCGTCAAAATAATCAAAGTGAAGAAACTTGCATTTTTCCGCAGGTTTGTGAATTTTTATCAAATTTTTGTTTTTTGGCTCAACATCTTTCATGCCCATTAAAGAACTCATTTCTGTGTTGACTAAAGGCACAAAAATGTACATTTTCAGTTACCACGGACTCTTAAGCTAAAGAAATAACTACTCTTTGGTGGCCATTTTCTCACTAATTTTACCTCTGAAAACAAGTGACCCCACCTCTTTCTTTTGCAAATATCTCGACTTGTATTCAAGATAAATGGATATTTTTTTCATCCAAATAAAGACAAGTGAACAAGCTTTAAGATGATACCAATAACTTTACATGCCCAAAAATTGACGAGAGCCTGATTCCACCATGCTGCCTCACAAATATATCATACAAGCTGGGCCCCCTTCCGATGAAAGGAATGATCGGTGCTTTAATATCAACTAAAAGTAATTGGCCTACTATATTTACACTCTACTGGAATGGGGTAATAAATCTTGAGAGATGCAAAAAATTAGAAGGTCAAGATCTATACTCTCAAAACAAAATGCGCCTCGCGAAATATCACTTCCGGATATTCTAAAATTACAGAGACAGAGGCGTCAGCCTACAAAAGCGATCGGCGAAATAAAGAAATTGATCTTTTTAAAGCAAAACTGTCTCAAAACTGAAAAAACGAAGGGCGTCATGATCTGGAGGATATTTTAAAGAATCTTTTGGCGAAAACTGCATGTCGATCGATGCAGCCATTACAAAGCCTTTTGAAAAGCAAAATTCGGCCACCACAAATAGAATGGATTTTTCTGATTTGTTATTATTTCCCCCTCCCCCTAATTTGAAGTATTTCACGCTCCCATCAACACCACTTAGATTATTAAAGAGACTGGCTTCGACTATGCTTGTAAGGCTTATTAACAGTAGGGCCGTGAGGGATGCAACTTCCCAGCAAAATGACCGATGTGAGCCTCTCAGTGTCATGTGTTCCAATGCAGTAGCGTCCTTTCTAACAGTTCGCGAACAATCTGATTTCACCAATTTCTTTCTTAAAAATTACGGAAAATCGCGGATTCAAGTCGAGCCAAAAAAACAAAACAAAATAAACAACAAAAAACAACAACAACA